TCCTCTCTCGTCACCTCAATCTGACTCAGGTCTTTCAACACCCCTCCTGAACTCAGCGGCTCAGGAGTGGGCAAGCACCTCTCATCTTCCACAGTGAAGACAGAGGCAAAAAATGCATTTAGCTTCTCAGCCATTTCCCTATCATCCTTCAGTACTCCTTTTACCCCTTGGTCATCCAAGGGCCCCACTGCCTCCCTGGCTGGTTTCCTGTTTCTAATGTATTTGAAGAAAGTTTTATTGTTGGTCTTTACATTTTTTGCTATATGCTCCTCATATTCCCTTTTTGCCTGCCTGACCACAGACTTGCATTTTATTTGCCATAGCCTGTGTTCTGTGTCCTACTAATTCCCTGATAAGCATGCAAAGTTCCATGTAAGTTTTCCCCTTGATCTGCACTCAGAAATCCATCTACCGTGGGGGTTCCCAACATGGCACTCTTGGGCACCATGGCATCTACCAATGCCTTTTCTGGTGCCCATCAAGAGCCAGTTTGGTGTAGTGTCTTAAGTTTTCCCCTTGATCTGCACTCAGAAATCCATCTACCGTGGGGGTTCCCAACATGGCACTCTTGGGCACCATGGCATCTACCAATGCCTTTTCTGGTGCCCATCAAGAGCCAGTTTGGTGTAGTGTCTAAGAGCGGCGAACTCTAATCTGGAGAACTGGGTTTGATTCTCCAGTCCTCCACATCCAGCCAGCTAGGTGACCTTGGGTCAGTCACAAGTTCTCTTAGAGCTGTTTTTTCAAGACCAGTTCTCTCAGATATCTCTCAGCCCCACCTACCTCACAGGGTTTCTGTTGTGGGGAGAGGAAGGGAAGGAGATTGTAAGCTGCTCTGAGCAGGGCCGGATTTAGATGAAGAGAGTCCCTAGGCTACTCCACTTGTGAGGCCCCTCCCAATCCCCCACCCTCACGACTACAAGAAAATGGAAGAATGAATTATAAAAAAAATTGAGTGAAGCCAAGGATGATGACGGGTATTTAAAATTCTGCAATTCACAATTTATCCTCTAAAGGACGTAAGATGTTATTGTTAAATACCATAGTGATTGAAAAAATGCATAAATGTTAAAATTAACACTGAAAAACTTTTGCAGTAACTGAACTTTGTAAACCTTTTGTGGAATAAGCATTAATTTTTAGGAAAATGAAGTTGTAATGTTATTCTTAAAAAAAAACCCTTGAGTTTACAAATTATATTGTCTTGGAAATGTAAATAATATGATCATGATTACCTGACAGTGTGGCACTTTTAGAATCTACTTTATGTTGTCATTAAACAGTCAGTTTTAAAATACATATTAAGAAGTAAACTACAACCATCAAATACAGTAAGACTAAAAATGTTTTTTTCTAGCCTTCCTCATAGCAAAATCATCCAAAACTTCATCAAAATTTGTTTGTCTAAGTTTGTCACTTTCAA